TTTTGCAAATACGACTTCCTGCCTTTATTTTTTACAAACTTTTCAACATTAACCTCTCTTGAAATTTTGTGACGAAATGAATAAGACCGAAGAAAGGCGACGGCATTTATAGATTACTACCTAGATTATAGGGCAACGTGCGAAAACAAGTCGCGGGCCGTTGCGACAAGAATTTTCCGTCGAAAATGCCTTCGGACAAGTAGCTTGAATCTTCTCGGCAACAATTGCAATGACTTTAAAACAGCTAATTAAGCGGATTTATGAATTGATTTAATGAAAATAAAAAATCAGAATTTTTTTGATTAATTTAAATAAATCAGTGATTTTTGATTTTTTTAAATAAAAATCAATTTTTGCCCAACACTGTAGGTAAGCAACGTGAAAAAAATATTTGGTGCTCCTTTAATATTAAACAGTTTTTCAACTTGTTGAATACTTACAATCGTACAATCTAAACCATTTACATGCGAATTTCCAATTTATCTATAATACTGTTAACCTTTAGCACTGAACTGTACTGTATGGCTACTGTACTAGTCGATTGTATATCCTTTTCTAGACTCAGATCGAATGTTATTTTCACTTACATTTTTTCTTGTGTTTCTACCAACTTTCTTCCATTTACTTCTCGTTCCACGCGGGATATTTTCAAAAAAAAGCGGTGAAATAGTGGCAAAACAAGTCGAAATCATAACTTAAAAGCATGTTTTCCTTTCGGTTGTTATCAAGGCTGGAACTTAGCCTGAAATATGAACGGTACGAAAAGTCTCCAGTTGACGCATAGCGCCCTGTGTGCTGAAAAAACTGAAAGTGAAGCTAACTTGACAGAATAATTTGCGGCCCATTTATATTCAGGAATAAGAGAAAAATCCAGCTCTGATTATTCTTTTTCCACTACCTGCAGGGGACAAACAAAGCACAGTTTAAATTGGAAGTTCGATCATAAAAGTTTTCTTTAAGAGTATTTTTGATAAAAATATATTGAACAACATAGGAAAATATTTAAACTATTTTTTTTGAATTGGTACATATTTATTTCAAAAAATGTGTATGTTAATAATATTTATATAGTTCTAAAGTCCAGAACAAAGCTGGTATTCGCGCCCCACGTATTTTCAGCCTTGAAAATATACTATTTTGGATCATAGAACTACATTTATATTTCATATTCACCTTCATCAATCTGACTAAATGCATATTTTGTGGATTGTGATAAACCACCCCATTTTACGTTAATTTATATTTTTATACGCGATGAAATTTGAACTGAGGTCAATAATTTAAAAAAATCGAACTCAGAATGTGCGCAAGGAGACTGATAATTTCTGGTGAAGTTAATTAATTAAACAAGTCGTTTATTGCCAGCCAGTTCAATTTGAAATCAAAGTTTACTTTATCACTCACGTCATGGACATTTGATTGGTTTCCAGTGTTGTGTTTTTGTACAATGCTGATCAATTAAATTCAAATGTCGGTTTTATTTATCAACTAAAATCTGTAACTTTTCACAAGCATCTAAAATTTAATTGCATAGTACGTGTTGGTTGAATGTGACTGTCAACCAATTTAACTGCATCCGCAATAGTAATTTCATTATTATTCCGGAACGGTATTTGTTTAAGCGCATGTTAAACAGAAAATAATGGCAATATTGTCAAATTTGCTCAGGCACTTGAATTTATTGTTTGTTTGGTTTCAAATTGCTGAACTTATATAAATAGGATTTGTCGTAAATTATTCATTAAAAATACGCGTGTGTTTGCCATGTTTTAGTACAGAACTCATTTCTGGCATCGGCCATATAAATTCTATATAGATCGAGTCAATCATTCAAGTAGAAATAGTTTGCAAATGATCATACAGTGATCAATAATAAATAAGTTAAAACAAAATATTTACATTCAAATTCAAAATATTGCCTTCAATTTCTTATTAATTTAGATGTATTTTCATTTTACTTGTATTAATATTTTTTAATTAAAAACAACAGTAAGTTAGTTGGAGTTACTTTATCAAGCTTTGGCAATTTTTTTAGTATTTTGTAAGCATTCAATTGAACTAGACTTTAGACTATTGGAAAACTATTAGGTAAAGTCTGGAGTACCATGGAAAAGGAAATGTATATAAAGTAGATACGGGTGAGTTTAATAAGGGACATAGCTACTGGGAAATCTTCTACGTGAGATACGTCTTGAAGAACTCTGAATTCAGTTTCAAAATCGTAGAAAATGAGGAAAAGACAATTTCAAGTTTATCAATAAACATTCACAGTGCACGATCCATATAACAGCACTGTAATATAAAACTTCTGTTGTCAAAGTTCCAGGGACAGAGCACGACGCCACGATATTACAAAACTAAATTTAAGCAATCATTAAAAAATATACTGATCATCTTTATTACGAATTGCTAATAAATATCGATTTTCCGTTAACCATTCATCCCTTTCTTGTATTAAGATCCTTTAAACATAGAATTTTAAATTTTCACCCATAAAAAAATTAGATCAAAATATTATAAATGCTTAGTTTATCGGTCTATCTCAAAATCAGCTTGAAGCACTTAAGGAGAATAACGTTAATGCTCGCAATAGCAAAGTGAGTCTCTTTTCCTTAGCTATTTGAGTCCGAAATATTTTACTTTATTAGGATATCAGAGTTTTCGAAATCTCCTTGGCCTCTGATGCTCCCTTTAACTAATGCGTTGCATGTATGTAATAACTAAGGCGTTGCATGTGTCTCTTGAATAAAAGTTTTCGTAGATATGTTAATAGTGAATTAATAAATTCCATCATTCTGTAAATAAAGCTGTTAAATTGATCGACAAAGCTTATTTTCCACTTGATTGTAAAGTTCTGCAAATGAAACTTAAAATATATGTTCCAAAGCTGATATTCATGCAAAACGCAAATTGTAATTAGCAAAATTATTTCCAGCATTTGTAGGCTAGTCGATACATCAATTCGAGGTTTTCATGATTCATTAAGCGGACCACAATTCATGAACTGTGCTAATTTCGCATTCAACGGTATTTAATCAAGTTTCCAATTTTCGTCTCTATTAAAATGTAACAGTACATTGAACAAACTAATAAAATTTGATGTTATTTTGCTTTTGTAGATTGTTTTCGTTTTCAGTACAAATTTCGTGATCCGAGATCCAAATGTTTCTTGGTATTTTCCATTTTTATTTTTTTATGACCCCATGTTCTATGGCTCCGGAAGTAACTTCTTTTATGCTTTCTTCTCGGAAGCAAAGCATTTTTCTTCATGTCATTTTTAATACTCGTGAGTTTTGCTATAACTTTTATATTTTATAAACAAAACTTTACAATTCTTAAATATTCGAATTTTCCTATTCTTCTTAAAGTGATAAAAGGAAATTTCAATTCATCCACATTTTCTGGTACGGACTATCGAAACTCCCTATGATTTATTTTAGATTTCTCCATTGCTACTCCTATTGGTAGGTAACAGTACACATTCAGGACACTTTAACTGCAACAGGTGAAGGTTGTCTATACATTTCAGAGCACAGTCATTATTTTCCGCAGCCAACAGCTATCGGGCCTTTTTCAATGTGATTTCCTACACAAAGAGCTATTTTGCCAGTGTCAGTTTTTTTGTCCGACTGCATTATGGCTTCACTTTCAAACAGCAGCTGCAAATCCTACAGATTATTATGTCTTGATAATTTTCTATTGCCTCGAAAAATAGCCTCGAATCGACTTTAGTTGTTTCAAAAAGTATATTTTTCTTTGGATGCGTTCATTCTTCATGCTTTAGGAAGTCTAGTTACTAATTAATCACTAACAGGCTTCCGATGTCACTAAAGCCGGTCTAATGCATTCATAATGGATGGCGAAGATTAGTCGATGTATTATAAATTGTACATTCGCGACCATATTGTCGGAGAGCGTAATTTCTAATTGTTTCTTTATTTAGTGCACACACATTACTCACTGTTCGTCGACCAGTACATTTATGGTAATAAGCTGGCATACCGACATGCAAATGTGTTCATTATTATTAATCCTTGAGTATGTGCTGTTAAAATTTGCGAATAAGCTTGAGGAAATTGAGAATTAGAATAGAGCACAACTGGAACTTCCAATTTATTTTGATCTTCTGATCTAAAGAAACGTAATACAAATATCATGAGGAAAATGCTGACATATTGCTGTATAAGTTACTACACTTAAAATAAAGCATCAACGTAGTTTTTAGTTTGTTCTAAGGTAAACTTGCTTTAGTTAAAGAGTCAACTGAAACAAAATGAGAGATAATTAGAGATTAGAGAGGAATAAATCACACAAATTAATAATGAAACTGGCATTTTAAAAGTTTACTTAAGTAACCGACAAGGAAGAATCTAATAATAATAGAAAATTCGCTACTAAATTTAAGAGCATTATTTTCAACTGAAAACGTCTACTGTATAACATACGGGAATGTATAGGAAAAACCACAAACGTTCTGCACAAACCCATCCATCATCTGGATCTGGAGTAAGGGTAGTTTAAGGCCAACGAAAGGTATTTTTTACGGATCAACTATTTTACACATGTGGATGAATATTAGATAGATTAGATCTATTTTACCAGACCGGTTCAGAAACTTTTTGAAAAACACCTAAAATAGAAAATAATGCAGGTTTATCCTTTTTAGTTTATTTAAGCTTTTTCAAGTGACACATATGCGAAGCTTAGTTACTGCGCCATTTTAATTCAATTTTTCTATTATAATAAACCTTAAATTCCAATTCGTAACAATAATCCTAATAAATATTATTACATGGTTTCGTCATACAGTTTTGCATAACAATAAAAAAGCCAATGAAAAACCCATTTTTGTTTATTGCAGGAAACTCAGCTGGCAGGATTTTGCAAAAAAATTAAAGACTTTTGCCCTCAATTGCCGGGACCAAAAGGAGATAGAGGAGACACGGGCTTGCCAGGAACCCCAGGTAAAAAAGATTGCTGTTCTGAAACATCTTTTTAATTTGAAAACAATTTTAAATTAATTTTATGTGGCAAAGCAAACTTTGCTATGCATCTAGACGAATCACGTGTCCGAACGCGTGTTTAAGTGGGTACACATTTTGGTCCTTCGAGCCGGATAGAGCAGAAGCCAACACCAGGAGTTCGACCTCTATTTGCTCTTTTTGCATAATTCAACAAAATCATAATCTTGCTTTTCATCTCGGCAATTGCTTTGCAGTTCGGCAATTTTTGTTCTTAAAAGCCAGATTAACAATGATATACAAAAATATTTCAGGATTGCCTGGAATTTCTGGCGCCAAAGGTGTTCCTGGACCTGTGGGGCCTCCAGGTAAAATTGGGCCTCCTGGTATGCCCGGTCGGAAAGGAGATTTGGGATGGCCTGGAGTTTCTGGAATGGCAGGGGAAAAAGTAGGATATTTCAAAAAGGAGTATTTCTAATTTTAACTCTAAGAATATATTTAATTAATAAGGGCGAACAGGGCCGCCCTGGTCTGGACGGAAGAATTGGAATACCTGGAACACCGGGTTTGGATGGAATGCCTGGACGTAATGGATATGATGGTTTGCCGGGTAAAGATGGAATACCTGGCAGGAATGGAAAAGATGGAATTAATGGTAATAAAATAAGAAAACAATTTTTAATAAAATGTTCCCTATACTTCTATATATGTTAAAGAGTTTAACTGTTTACAGATCTGAGTTGAAATAGTGTTATTACAACCAAGTCCATATATATTTAAAGTTGACACTTCACACTATAAATCGATGGTCCAAAGAACATGTTTCCGTTTGAACGGAAACTTGCAAAGAATAAAATAACTTTTACTGAGAGTAGAACGAGTGATAAGTATGAAATATTGCTTCTAAGATATTTTGATATCAAGTTGCAAGGAAAGCTTAGTTGGAGAAAAGTTTTCCTAAATAGTAATGCTAAAGTTAATCAAAACAGTTTAATAAAAGTTAGTATTCTGACACGTAAGGGATTATTGAATAAAACCCAGCAGGAAACTTAATGGGCATTTTAAGTTCATCTCTTTCGATATTTAGAATTCGAAGTTACAGAATTTGATTCCAATTCTTGAAGTGGTGGAAGAAGTAATGAGAAGTTAGTTTTTTGGTGCGTTTACATTTATTTCGTTGAAAATTTGATTAGTGTTGTCCCAAAGCCGCAACTATGTTTAGGATAGTAGTGTTTTTCCTTTTATAATTCACAATCTATAAGGATATCCTTAACCGTTTTTACATTACACTTCCGCATCCACTCTCTCATTTTCTTGTTTATGAATATCTGCTGTTGTTCAAATAAATCACTTATTAGAAAACACACTTTATCCTCTAAATACGTTTATTTTTCGTTTTAATCGCGTCGGAATATTTAATGAATTTTGCATTTATTTAACGAATTTTTTTGCATTTTTTTGCAACTATTTTACTAGACTATGAAGGCTTTCACGGCCGGTCAGATTACATTTAGGAATGTTTTCCGGGCTTTGAAGCCGTGGTCTATCGGAATTTCTTCCTGACGTTTCGTCCACAACTGCGGTGGACATTTTCAACCACCGTCCACCGCAGTTGTGGACGAAACGTCAGGAAGAAATTCCGATAGACCACGGCTTCAAAGCCCGGAAAACATTCCTAAATGTTATTTTACTAGATTTCAAGTTTCTTTACTCATGAGCACAAACGACTTTTTTGACTTTAGATAAAGTAAATTAGTTCTTCCCGATATTGTAACATATACGATATGTGTATGCATTTTTTGAGGTATTTATATATTTTTTGGGTTATTTTTGAATTATTGATTAAATTTGTTCGCATTTTTCCAGAAATTTTTTTAAAAACAACTGTTCAAATTTATTATTATATCGATATCCAATAACCAGCATTAATATACCCAGTCTTGTAGTTTTAAACTAAGGGTTTAATTTTAATGTGGCTGATGTAGCTTTCTAGTAAATACCCATGGTACAAGCTGAAATGCTAAAATCTGTTTAATCTTCAGGGTTGAAATGTGTGTCTAATGGATTATGCAACACTTAGTTTAAGCCTTGAAATGCATACATTGTAGTGCCAACTTGGACAAACACGTCGAACGAATGAGTAATCTTATTCATTTTCGTTTTTATTCTAAAGGAATGGTTTGGTTAATGCACTCACACAAAATTACATACAATTTTTTCGCGTATTAACAACTTTCAAACAATCACCAATTTCTTTCATATTTCATAAAAATTTTCTTTTAGTAAAATGCGTAAAAATTCTTTTCACATTCTTTTCTTTTCAAATAAATTCAAATATTGCTTAACTATATTAAAGTTTAATTTATCCAGCTTATATGGTATCGGGGCAAAGGTTTCATTTAATACAATTACTCCGCCGAGCTAAATATGTATTTAATATGATTATAAATTTCCTTGAGCGAACTTGCAGGAAAAACTTTCAGTACAATGTAGGTATTAAGGCGTGAATAATTTGCATAACTTATATAGATAGCGGCTAAATGATTTAAAGCCGAGACAGCATGCTACCCAGATATTAATAATTTTTCTTCATACTTAAGTCATGGAGTTCGGAAATATATTCAGGTTTTTGATAAAGTTTTGCATAAGTTAACTGACTTTTAGTTTACGGGAATTACTTTTTCGGGTCCGCAGTTTTTTTCAACTGATGGCAGGAACTGAATCTGATTTCTAAAGAAAATGAATGTGTTCAACTGATTGTTAAAAATTGTAAATAGAAAAAAATATTTTAATTGTTGATTGATTTCAAAGACCTATGAGTGAATATTGAGTATTTATCATTTGCAAATACTTGCAATATTTGTTCGTCCAAGCAAAAGTGAATTTTTGGAAAATAAAACGCTGGTTCGCTTTTAAGTAGAGATTTTACGATGAAGCCTTTCTTTTAGAGTTTATCTGTTTACATTGTTGGTTTTCGTCAATTCAACTTTTAAATTTACGTACGTATTCGTTCGTTATCGGTATTTTTTTCTCAATTTCAGAAATTTTTCTCCAAGTAGGTATATAAGAAATATATTGAAGTAACCAAAAATGATTAATAACTTTAGAGATGCTCATCAACAATTTTAAACCGGTTTTTTAATGCCTGCATAAAGAAATTATCTTACATTTTTAAACTCTTTGTTTCTCGAATATATGCTAATCATTTATTCTGGTTTTGTTAAGTCAATTAATTGATGGGTCTAATGAGAGTCCAATTCCATGCTTCGGAAAAATTTGAGAGCAAATTTCAATGCCAAAATGTAAAATATTGCACATATTCTAACAGCAATTTAACACCTGTATTCGGATTTTGCATTCAGTATATAAAAACTCCCAAAAATATGTTTGTTTCAGGCCATAAAGGGGACCGCGGCCTTCCGGGCCCACAAGGACCTTCTGGTGTGAGAGGTAAAAAGTTTTAAACTTTTTTACGTTTTGTGTAAATTTCTCTAAAAAGTGTTTTTAACAGCGACTATTTTAATTTTCTTCAGGTATTCCTGGACCAAAAGGAAAAGTCGGGAGACCTGGAACTAACGGAACTCCTGGTTTGCCCGGAGTATCTGCATATAAGTATGCTTCAAGCAACAGCAGCAAACTTCTAATTCCTCCCTCAATTTCTGGTAAATAAATTTGCATTCATATTAATTACTTAGGAATTTAATGCTGTTTTGACTAATCTAAATGACAATTTATTTTTTATATATCATTTCTATTGAACAAGTCGTTCAACAGTACAAATATATTACCTACTGGATTCTTAAGCGGAAAAGATTATTAACCAACCTTCTTTAGATGCTTTTATAGCCGCGATATTCTGGCAATTTTATTTAAAAAGTTACAAATCCTCCTGGTCGCTTTAAACATTTTTAAAGATAATAATGTTTGGGTAGTAAAATTTGTTTAGTCTGCTCTATAATCGCCTATTTTCAATATCATCCTAGTTTTTGAAAGTATAATACTTATTTCTTTAATTGATTTATTTTTCTATAATTAAAGCTGCGTTTAAAATCCCTATATAATTATGAAAAATATTTTACTATGGTCGGGTAGTTCCTTAACGCATGGCTCGGATAGGGCCTAGGATAGAGAAGGGCCCTTTGATAGGCAATATCAAAGAAAAACGGTTTGAGTGAAAATGGTTTGATCAACTAACTGAGACGTCTCCTAAAAACCCAATATTGGCTGCTATCATTAGTCTTAGTCAAATGGATTTCGCTTTCCCCCTTTTCAATATAGATGACTTTTGAATGGTTTCACTGGTCACTTTAACGAACTAGATCAATATAAGTTAGATTTTGATTTTTTTCTTAGTCGGTTCAACTATGAACTTATTTGCGTCTTTTAAATTTAAGATCCACATATTCATAGATGTTTGTGTAAAGTTCTCGCCGACCATAAAAGAGTTTCTTCAAATAGCTTTATTTTAGTTGCGGAATCATATAAACTGAACTGTACTCGGGAGAACTGTGAAATATTTTATTTTTGGAAAGTTATAATTTAATTAGGAAGTTTGGAAGTGGTTTGGAAGGTCTATTTTCGCTTTTCTGTTGCTAATTGAAACTAATATAGGCCAATAATATTCATCTTTCCACACAATTTCAGCTGCCTTGTGTGGGCATTTTTTGGGCAGAAATTTCATTAATTTACCAGTTTTCCAAGACGTATACCAGCAACATAGAAATAGATAAATTTAAACATTTAGTCGCGTGAGAGGTGTTGCAATCAATCAACACTCTGCCAAAAGTCAATTAATCATTCTTACGTTTCGAACCGCTTGAATTATTACGGCACGAATAGCGGAAATTTTAAACTCGACAATACAACGAAAAGAATGCCGAACAGCAAAATGGCAATAAATCAGGCGTCCTAAAGTGACATCCGCAGGATTTTTGTGCGATGAAGCACTTCTGCTACTTTTTCTAGTTGAAACGAATAATAGACTTGAAATAGACAAAATGTTATTTTTGCAAACAATTTTTACTCCAGAATGATGATTTCTTAAATATAGGCATCGACATACATTTTTGTGGCTACTAGCCAATATTCACCTAATTTATTTTTCGGAGTTTAATTGAGTAAAGTTTCCAAATCGTTAAATAAATTTGGTTGTCTTTTTTTCTGATGATCACCTTGAACGCACTTTATCTGCTTTTCCTCACTATTTTTTTACATTTTATTATTCATCTAAAATATGTACTTTCTTGCTCATGAAATTACTTCATTTACTGTGTCTGTTACGGGTCATAAATCTTATTTCGTCCTGTTGTCTTTGTGTAATATTTGATATTACTATACCATATTTTTTTGTTTTCCTGTGTCTATAAAAAGTTTGCAATTTTTTGTTTTGTTGGTAGGCTTCAAGAGTCTGCATATTTTAAAGCGAAATATATATCTACAACCACTAAACTTGAGCACAGAAATATGATGTCAAAGGAAATTTTATTAAAGATGAGAACGCAAGAAAAATTGAAAAATATTCGTAAATAACGCGAATGTTTATGAAGAATGCAAGTGCTTCCAAATACAGCAATAATCTCAAGCGAATCAACCGTAAGGTGAGAAGAAAGGAAAAATCCAGTAAACGTTTTGAACATTTCCAATCTTTGAGTTAATTTACCTTTTTCGTTAGTCTTGAATGATTTGTTGCTAAACTAAACAAATTAATTTGAAAATTTATTGCGCAAATAATAAAACTGTAGATACTAATAAAAGTAGGTATAGTCAAAATAAGATATACTGATTATGTAAACAACTACAAGATAAAAATCAAGCGGTTTTGAACAAAGTAAGAAAAAGCAAATGATAAGGAATTAACGAATTTACAAATGAACAACTAAGTAACTTGCAGCTAAAAATATAACATTAATAAAATTGCATTCGCAAAGATGAATTACAGATTACAGAAAATTCTTACGTAATGCTTGAAATATATATCAAACTCTTATGTAATAAAGGTCATGTGTTGTTCTGCAAATATGTCCTCTGAGTAACGGTTATTCGATACACAACGTATCTCCACGGAGTAAATTTAATTAGCAGAACAAATAATAGTGTATGACACCAAATAATGTACTTAAAACCGTATTTATTATGAATGCGTTTATTCTGTAAAAATATACATTTGATTTAATTGTAGACATTATAGTGTTTCATTCATTTATACTTAGTTACATTTTAATGTAATGTTAAATTAATAAATCAATTAAAAGGTAAAGTAATAAATCAGCTAATGTGCTGATGGGCATTTTGCCCTTTATATGATGTTCATGGTCAATATTATACAGGCTTGATCAATAAAAATTAGAGATATCTCCAACCGGTGACAGTAAAGCTTCCCTTACAAAGTTTGCTGATTATTTATCGGTATTTATCAGGCGATTCTCTGGAGTAAATAGCGAATAGATAAAATCGACCAAGAACGCTAATAAATATTTGTTTAAAATTTTGTACAAATCTGCATTTACTTCCAAGAGCCTTCACTGATTTTGTTTTCTTTTATTATATTTTAGTTGTCGATATTAAATAAATAAAAGCGTAATTAGCTTCATGCTGTGGTATTTTGTTACTATGAATTATATCATTATTGCAGCTGTGTTTTTATAAGAATTTTCACTATTGCAAAATGAACGTAGCACATATTGCACCACAGCTTGTATAGTAAAATTCGAATAGATATTTTCAGCCGAGATTTTAATTGAATGAGTGAGTATATTTGGGAAATTGAACAGAATGAGTTTTAGTTACATAAACCTTACAATCTTCCATAATTAGCGACTTTTAATAGAAAAATCATATTATCAAACATCTGAAGCAAACTCTTTAGAATCAAAATAAAATCCGAATGTCAATCGAAAAATTGAAACTCTACCAAAACGGTTTTTATCATCTATTAAAACACCGTATCTGCCCATAAAAAAATCCGAATTGTTTTTATGTGTTCAACCCCCCAAATTACTTTGGCACCACTCTTTCCATTCTCAACGAAAATGACTCCCAGGAGTGTTCCAAAAAGGGGCAAAATCTTATGCATAGATTACACTCTGCTGGTAGGTAAACAGAAACCGATGGTGAATATTTCAGTTTACTGATTTTACTACAGCATATGTTCTTTGGGAAAATGGAAAAGTGTGGAAACTTTTCAATTTTGTTTTTGTTATGAAAATGCAATTTACCTTATGAGATATTTATGTGTGTGATTGTTTAGAGCGTATCTTCTATCGAGGAACTTTTCCATCAAAATAAGGCTTGTTAGGTGTAAAGTTTTAGCATAATAAAGGTAAATTTAGGAAGAATTTGAATAGCATAATATATTATGAGGATAGAATACGGATATAATGTATGTTTTTGTTTAAGGGGATATATTTTTATATGTAAGCTGGCTTAAGTGTATTTACGCGCTGTTTCCTAAAATGCATAAATGCAGTAGCTTCTAAAGCAGACTGTACTTGCCGGATTGAAGGTCCTTGCCTTATTTTATTAAGAAAATATCGTCAGTTGGTGCCTAATTACTAATGGTTTGAAATTTGCATACCAAATCACCACCAATTAAACATTTAGCAGTATTCAGTAATATTTCTTGACTTATTTATTAGGTGTTGATGTTGATGGCTTGATAACAAACTATTTTTTTGCTTGAAATCAAGTTCTTTAAAAACCAAACAAAGTTTAGTATACAATTAATAAGTTTTTAATTCAAAATTTAGTTACCTAGGCGCACTTGGTTCAAACTATAAGAGGCAAAAATCATTTATGGGAGTACTTATTTTTAAAATCGTAATTCTAAAAGCTTTTTGCCACTTGAAAGAGTGAAGAAGATTGAAATATCATGTTGAAAATACAATCAGTAGGTATTATATTAATTTGAAATTTGAATTAAAATGGAACCTTTTTAAGACCCATTAAATGTTTATTTACATTTAGTTTAACTTTAAAACGTTACTTTGCTTAATACTAGTCATAGAAATTAAATCATTTAAATTTCATAACAGAAAACTTTTTAATTTCATGATTCGTTTAACCTTTCAATATAATTATTTCATTGCTGTGACCTCGCAATAGTCCAGATTCTTCACCTTTTAATTTATTCGAATCGTAGCACCTGAAAACACGCAGCTTGAAGTAGGATACATTTGGGACAATTTTGGATACTCTAGAAACCAGATGAGGAAAAGTAAAAACAAAGAAAAAAAACAGGAAATATTGTCGTTTAGCGGTAGCGAAGACGGTTGCAAAAGAGCAGAAAAAATTTAAAATGTTTTAGCTCGAACTACATTGAATGACAAAGTTGTTTTTGAAAATTATACGAAATTTCCTTGTTTCATTCTGAAAAAAAAGGATCACAATGTAACAAGAAATTCGAATTTCGAAAGTATTTACTAAAAAGCCGGAAATTTTATTCGGAAATCGAAATTCAGTCTGTCAACAAAATTTAAGATACTCTACTAAAGAAAATACTTTTAAATAATCACGTTTCTCCTTACAGCTAGTTATTATTTGTTCAAGGAATGTAACTTCGTAATGTAACGTAAATTAAATACTGCTATGAAAAATATTAAAATAAAAATAAAAAGCGGGCTTGCTTTGTTTATGTTAGTTTCCCGTTTCTTCATTTTATCACTTTTGCCTCGCATTGGTGACTTTATAAACACGCTGCTGAATGACAAAATGCAATTATTTAACCATCATTTTAATATACAAGACAAGTGCTATATTCTGAACGAATTTTATTAACAGCTACATAGAAATATTTGTAAGGAAAAAAACGACAAAAGACCAAAAAAAAATCTAATTTCTATGATGATGTCGAACCTAATCTACTGATAGTGGACATAGTGGTAATGTTGGAAATTTGAATCTATTAAGTTTTTGGGGCTTTCAGGCCATCGTGGAAATGTCCTATTAACGTTCTGCAAGCGCGACTGGCTTACATCTTCAGATGTGTTTCTCTCGAAAGCTTACACAGCTGAAGACTTAGCACATTGTAAGCTTTAGAGAAAAAAATCGTGCGAAGATGCAAATAACTCGTCCTTGCAAAAAGTTAGGACGACATGTTTTACACGACAGCATGAAAGTCCGACCAATGACCATGAAAGACCATATCAATTCAATTTCAAGCAATGACCGCGAAAGCATAAGTCTTAAATTAATATTTCTTCGCAAATATATCAGTTTTTAAATGTATGTTTTAAACTGCTTGGCAGGCCTTTGTCCTTCTAACTTGGGGAGACGTCTTAAACCCTCTGAGTATTGAAACTTTTCATAATGTGTCTTACCTGATGAAATATATTGGTGTTCCTCACAACTTTTTTCATGTGTCTTTTGTTGCTGGTTTTTATTTCTTTTACCTTTTTTTAGCATTCAAACCAATGAACAAGCGTACGTTAAAGCAGAGTTTTATGTCGCCTGTTTGCCTTCGTAATTATTGCTGTTGGCTAAAGGCAGTAAATTTCAACGGCTTTTTTTACTTAACTTAATTAGCCTAATAAATAGTAATTAAGCCTTCTAAGCTGATATTTTGAGTTTGCTCTGAAATATTGTAAATCGACAATGAAAATSTGCCACTCTGGATATGGAAAACCAACTAATTTCAAATTCAGAAATTCTTAGCTCGAATCGAGTGATTAAACTGAACAACAGAATAACTTTACGGGTTAGTTTAACTGAGTTGACCTAAGTTTACTGTATATTAGTGACCCGATGTTGAACGCTGCTAATAAATTGCGGTTTGAATTGATTTGAGATATCTGTACGTGACTTGGGATGACGTGGTAAATTGTTGATAACTCTGAACCGTTCCTAATTGCCTCGACCAGACATTTTGTCAATTAGCAACTTCAATTACTCTGTCTGGATTGATTAATATCCAGATATTGTGCTCTGACGTGCCGGAGTTTCGATGATCTTCTTATTATGTTCTATTATCTTAACGCCGCTATAAACAGTGCTTTCCTGACGTCGACATAACTGATGTATGATATTTATCACTTTCAGGGTATCCGTACGGTCATATGGGCCCCACTTCTGTTCCTGAAGGCAAGAATGTGCGATTCCACTGTTCAGCCACAGGTAACCCCACACCGAAAATAACGTGGCAAAAGTTCGACAACAGCCCTATTAACCGAGGAGCTTGGGAAGGTATGAATATGTTTATTTTAGCAATCTGAGAATTTATTAATCGGCCCAGCTAGAAGATTTATTTTTGGTTACACAGCACAAAAGATGGCTTAAATGTAATAAATTTCCTTTGGGAAATTGTAGGACTTGGAGATAGCCATGATGAACGGGAAACTGAATGGCTTTAATTTATTGGTTGCTACGTGAATCATCCGTTTCAACTGGTGATAACATTGGGTTGAGTGCAAATATCTCAAAAGACCACATTTTTCTTATTTTTTCTGCTTTCAACGCTTTATTTTTATTTACTTAACATTTATTATGTACCTAAGTGTTTCATATTTTACATGCTGCTTACTCTTTTATAGCGAAATTCCGTGCAATCTTTAAACGAACCAGTTTAGTGTTCTGTGCTTCATAGGTTCTAAACGGGATCAATTTTTATATTATTAGATGTGAAACTTTAAAATCGCGATGTCGGTCTCCAGATTTGTTCATAACTGTATTGCTTATGGCGCGAAACAAATTGCTTTTCAGTATTTGCGACTGTTTCGGCAAAAACATCACAATTATTACATTGTCCAAGGTAAAAATATTTRCTCCTAAATGTATTMCAATGATAAAGAAATTGTAWTGAGCGCAATACCYTTTTTGTTATTACAGATTCTAAAGGCTTGTCGCAATCGRGGCAAGAGRTAAGGCMRGGGCAAAAGCTGCTTTCAAGTCAGGGGGGTCATGTAGTAGAGCCTTTTRACCYAGAAAGCGAAATTTGAATATCAAACATTTAGGGGCAAGATTATGCSAAAATTTCATGTTTCCCGTCCAGYTTTCGCTCATTTCTCGGAAGCRMAATGAGCAACAACGCTCATTTTTACATCATTTGAGAGAAACTTAAATGGCGTTTTTASAAAGTGAACCATCAACGACAAAATGTTGGCAGTTTTCTCAAAAAAGTCTTGATTTTTTAAATGTTGTTTTTTTGAGTTGCAAAATCGACTCAAACATGACGCTGCTTTTTCTTTTTTTCAAGAACCATTTGAGCCACTGACTTTGCTTCCGCATCGTTGGATAGAGAATTGAAAACTCGATTCAAAGACAAGTGATTTTTAACTATTTCAAATTTTTCCAATAGTTAATTCGAGATTAACAACGACTTTTCAGAAATTTTTCTGAAATAACAATATGAGTGGGGAAATTAGAGTAGTTTTGACCCAGGAACTGAAACTTGAATATCATACATTGAGCAGGGGCGGATCCAGCTTCTAAATCAGGGGGGAGGATCATGTAGCAGAAGTTCAGTCAAGTTTTGCCATGGTGTATTTGCAAAGTTCTCGCACTCTAATAGTGGAAAAGTTAAAAATGCAACTTCAACAGCTAATACCATCAAGACATAAGTTTTAAAAATTTTAAAAAGTTGTCTTCCCTACTCTTCCAGTGAGCTCCAGTAACCTGCTGAAACAAAAACGACCAATTTTCAATTCAACCGAACTGGATAGAAATTAAATGTTGTAAACTAATCAATTATTTATTTAAAATCCGGCAATAAAATATAACATTGTATATACTTTCCTGACTGTGTTTCAATTCCAAATCAAAATGAATTCCTGACTTTCAGTCATTTATTGTCTTTATTTATCAATTAAAATACGTTCCGGTGTATTTTTCCACCATCATCAGTTTTTCTAAAATAACATAGTTTAAAAAAAAATC